AGAAAAAAGGTAAGCAAGGCGTCGAACGTCATAAAAAACAGTGAGTATAATGGTGAATAATAATATATATGGGCACCAAAAGGAGAAAGATTCAGGAAAAGTCTTAATGTAGAAGCTAAGCAGAGGATCTGAGTTACCCTGAACAAACAGAGAGTCAATCACTAAAGCCCAACTCCAACTATTTTATCAAATCTTTTCAACTTCTTTCTGCCATCTCCTAAACCCTCATCATTTGCTGATGTCATCTCCTCTCATAACTCTACTAGTACTTTTCATCTACCTAAATAGTTGCCCACCATTATGTGGTTTATGATGCGGAGTATGTATCAACATGCACTTCAACTCACGTGACCACGTTCTTATTTTAAGCCCGCACCTAATTTAGGACATTCACTTAAATCAAAATTTGAGTTTAGGAGCATACTGTAAGATGTTTAGAGATATATGCCTATATCAAAGCTACAAATTAGGCCAAGATCATGCCCATATAAAGGCTATATAATAGGCCATGAATTTGATTTGATAGCCTAATATTTTTTATAAGATTTACGTGGCTAAATAAGGATATAAATGCAATTTTTTTTGAAGAATACAAAATAATTTACTAGTACGTTATTATTCTAATACATATGATCAAAACAATGGATAGCAAATTTGCAAAATAAAATAACCTTAGTTTTGTTGAGATTTTACACTACATTTTCATTTTACTTTACCACATGCTCTTTTAGTCTTCACCTAAAATTTAAGGAAAGCATATTCGTTAACTTATCATATACTCTAACTATTGGGTGTGGCAGTCAGCACTCAATAGTTTATGCGGCGAAGAAGGCAGTGGTAACAGCATCGATAGCCTTCCACCACTTGCAAAATCAAACACATGGAACCACAATCCAAATTTACATCCCCAAATAATACTAACAAAAAACGAAATTCCCAAAATAAAAACAAATCACAAATTAAAACAAATAAATCCCCAAAAAAAACAAAAGACAAGGGTTTCGATTTGCATAGGCTTGAATGGCGGCAACTTGGTGGTTGGTGATTTGCGGTGGGTTCGGTGGGTGTGTTCGGTGGTTGGTGGGTGTGGCGGGTTCGATGGGGTCGCGTGGGATTTGGGGATGATTTGAGAAAGAAAGAGAGGAAGGTTCGATGGGTGGGTTCAGTGGGTGGATTCGGTGGTTGGTGGGTGCGGTGGGGTGGCGTGGGATTTGTGCCTGATTTGAGAAGTTGGAGAAGAAAGGAGGTGAGCAAATGAAATGAACCCAGTTCATTGAAACAAGAGAAAGAAAGAGAGGAAGATGGGGAAAGAGGAAAGAGAGAAAGAAATGAAAGTATATATGTATGTCATTAATCATATTAGCCATTAAAATGAACATATTAGTCAATTGATGTCTGATTTCAGTCAACATTAGGGACATATCAGACATTAATAAAAACGTTCAGCCAACAAAAGGAATATATCAGCCAACAAAAGATGCATGTCAGCCAACAAGAGGAATATATCAGCCAATAAAATGTACTTATCAACTAACAGAAGGAATATATCAACCAACAAATAAAGCATATCAGCCAACAAAAGGATGAAATCAGCAAACAAAAACAATAGGTAAGCCAACAAAATAAATGTATCAGCCAATAAAATGAAACATATAAGCCAACAATTAAAATATACATATCAGTCAGCAAAATAAAGATATCAGCCAACTAAAGAAACATATCAGCCAATTGATGTCTGATACCTGCCAATAAAATGAACATATCAACCAACAAAAGGAATATATTAGTCAACACAAAAATCATATCAGCCAACAAATGAAACATATCAACTAAAGTAAAATATATCAGTCAAGTCTGCCACACCAAATTTGCGTGCGATAGTCTGCACTCAATACCTTCTCTATCATATATACGATTCATTAACTTATAGTTTAGTTAAATGTTGGGGTTTGGATACCTTTGTTTCACGTATGTTGACAACGATAACGTGCATGCTTCAAGATCGGACTAGAGACACTCAAATACATTTGCATCCCATATAAATTTACATAAATGTGAACTTCGGAGTAGTAGATTAATAGGGGGTGTTTAGTTTAGGGGCGATAGAATATTCTTAAATTTACAGCCTAAGTAGAATTGAACGAGTACGTTTGGTATGTATGTAATCTAGCTAGATTGTCGATCTCCAGCTGTTCAACACAGATATTATTAAACGAGAATCGAGGAAAGAGCGAGATAGATTTCAAAACAGGTATGACGGCTACGGTCAGTGACCGTACGGTGACGTATAAATATCAATCTAGATATAGAGTTAATTGCATGCAGATGCAGAATCAGGTACTCCTATCACATATCCCTTCTTTTTGTAAAATTACTCCACTCTTTCACTACTCAACCCACTCATTTTATCAATTTCATTTTTCATTTTTTTTGTAAAATAAAAATTTCTTAAGTATATCAGAATTTAGATATGGCTTCACTATACAATCATTATACGATGTATGAAACACCTACTAGGGCTACTACTTACCCGTTTATATTAACCTTGTTGTACTCCGTGTTTAATTAATTGTTAGAAATTTTTTATTTTCCACAAAATATAGGAATACAATTACTTAGTTCCATCTAGATAAATAGAAATTTCTATAAAAAGTTACTTCCCACAGTACAAACCAAACAACTTTTATAAAATCTCACAAATTTAAAATAAATAATTTAAAATTTAATTCCCACGAATTCCAAATGAATGTGAATTTACTTTCGTTCTTAACCAAACATTACCTTGGTATTAATAGCTAGCCCTAATAGAATCCCACCCCACATCACCCTCCCTCCCTATATATATATTGAATGTTGGAGGCAAAGTTAACCTTACCATCCAACCTAACTAATTAGTTAAGCTCATTTTCTCCGTTTTCGTTTTCTGAAAGTTTTTGAAAACAAAGATGGCTACTACTACCACTACTATTGTTCTCAATTTGTTTCTAATTTCTGGCCTTTTCCTCATCGACTTGCCTTCCGCTTTTGCTCTTGGTATCTCTCTCTCTTGTTTGTTAAATATATATAAGTTTCTTTAATTTGTTTTGCAATTATATAAAGTAAAACATATACTTATGAAGAATACATTAGTATAAATGATATGCTTCTAAAAAAAATGTGTTTGTTTGCAATAATGCAGATTGTACACCCGGAAATGAATGCAACTTTGCTCAAATGGCTGTTGACGCTCGCCTTGATCTTCATCTTCCTAACAGAAAGGTCACTGCCTAAGCTACTACTTGTATCACACGTACTATTTATCACATTACCAAAATATTCTTCTCCCAAAACTAAATTAGTAAAGAATTAATTTGCATGCAACTTGCAAGGTTGATTATTTATGTGTTAATTGTTTTTGAGTGCAGTTTCTGATGGACGTATCTAAAGCCCAACAAAGGCCCAACTATGGTGAATTGAGGACTGTCCCTGCTGGACCTGACCCAATACACCACCAATTAGGTAGTCCTCAAAGAAGGCCCAGGAACAGTCCATGATCATCATCTTCTTTCTAAGGGACCTAAACATCATCAATCTTCTACATTTTGGTTTTTGCACTTGAAAATAGTATTATATATATATATATATACTCCTCTAGTAACTAAGGATCGGACCAGGATGTTTTGTTTGTGCCATGTCCACTTTTTGTCTACTAATTTTCTTCCTTTCTTGGTTAATGCTTTAATTTGTCTTTTTCAATGTATAACAATAGAAATTTTCAGATAATTTTGTTTTAGTATCCTTGTAATGTTCGTTTGTATGAAATGCAATTATATTATGATTAATATATAGCAACATATTATATTAAACTTCATTCCATATAATTTCCCTTTTTTTGACAAGGATGACGCTTGAGTTTTAAATCTCTCCCAAAAAAAAAAAAAAAAAAAAAACCACTCGAGTTTAAATATTGAAAATTTGGCTATGATGCATGGCTTAATGTTAAATTAAGTGGAAAAAACGTAAAGGAAGAAGAAAAGTAGTAGTGTTGCATGGAATAGGAAAGGTGATATGAAATGAATAATAAAAAAAAGGAGTTTTGAGTGAAGTAGTGAACTGGACTGCAGGTATCAAATGGACGTAGAAATTTTGAAAGGTTTAATTTGTTGGAGGAATCTCTAATAATTAAAATTCTGATCCAGGCCAGTGTGAGTGTCACAATCAAGTGAAGTAATACTGTATTAACATCTTTTAATTATTACGTCATATTTGTACAGCTAACATAGCCTTTCAAGTGACATTGAAGTTGACATTTTCCTTATTGGATTGAACCACATGATATTTCTACATTTAATATTTGTAAGCTGCACCACACCTAACTAACTAGTACTTGTATTACTTATCTATGTGAGTATGTATGATCATATCATATTATCATCTAAGCTACAAGCCTACAACCAAAGCTCGTCATGTAATTCCTACATATGGACTTCAATTTATATTGCAGTTTCCCCTCACAAAATTGCTTACTTAGGAGTTTCTTGCCAAATTCATCACACGTAATTTCTAGGAAATTGATCAATAATAATATCTCGCACATTGCACACTATATAATTTCGATGAGCACATGACCTTTAAATTTTACCCTTTTCTACTTGATATTAATTAGATTTTTTTGACCGACTTGTACCCATACTTATAAGTTTTAAGATTAAAGTAATTTTATAAATTTTTTCACTTAACAAAATAGAAATATTGATGATTTTTTTTTTTTAATGGGAGAAATATTGATCATTTAAGAGACAGGTTTCTTACTACAAAATTTTACTTTTTTATTTTTTTGAATAGTCTATAAAATGTTACTTAGTATAAGGTGATTTATTAATGAACGTGAGAGTACAAAAACAAAAATTAGTCTCAGCAGGGGTACGGAGTACCTAACATAATCGGTAATTTGGCGGGAATATACAAAGAAAGATTAGCAATAGCAATTGAGAAAGGCAATAGCTGCAGCAAAGGAAGAAATGGGTCTTCCTCGAGACATCCCTTCCTACGCTTCGCTTCTGGAACAATGTTGCAACACCAAGAACCTCCATAAACTCGGAATACTCCATTCCCAAACAATCAAACTCGGCTTTTGTTACAATGACTTCATTCGAGCAAAACTCGTCTCTTCATACTCCGCTTGTTCTCAAATGTCCGATGCTCAGCTTATCTTCTCTTTTACAAACCGTAAATCCACCTTTCTCTACAACACCATTATCAGGGGTTACTCTTCCACCAACCAATTCCATCTTTCTCTCGCTTCTTTCCATCAAATGCTTCAATTACGCAAATCAATTGACCTCAACACCCTTCCCGCTGTTCTTAAATCCGTCGCCGCCCTTTCTTCTCTAAGACTTGGCCGCCGACTCCACAGTTTTGTATTGGTACATGGGTTCAGTTTCGATCTTGCTCATTGCAATGCCTTGATCACAATGTATGGTAAATGCGGCGACTTGCAGTCTGGGCGTAAGGTGTTTGATAAAATGCCTGAAAGAAACTTGATTACTTGGTGTGCCATGATGGGTGCTTACGGAATGCATGGGAACTCTGATGAGGTCTTTTGGTTGTTTGATAGGATGTTGGATTCTGGTGTTCAGCCTGATGGGGCGATCTTTACCACAGTGCTTACGGCATGCAGTCATGGAGGAAGGGTAGAGAAGGGGGAGGAATATTTTGAGATGATGGTTAAGAGGTTTGAGTTGAGGCCAAGCAAGGAACATTGTACTTGTATGGTTGATATGTTGGGTAGAGCGGGGAGAATTGAACAAGCCAAAGGGATTGTTGAGAGTATGGAGATGGAGCCTGATGCTGGTTTATGGAGGGCATTCCTTGGAGCCTGCAAAATCCATGGAAAATATGAGATAACAGTCAGAGGTAAACATTGGACGCTACAAGATTAGTGTGATTATTTACTACATCTATGCTGTTTTGCTATTAATGTAACTAGGAAGGTAGTTGATAGAATAGACAATTTTCGTTGCTGTGTACGTAATTATTTTTGGTGTGAAAAATTTGCTAGACATGCTCAAATGCTAAAGAGTACGTTGGAAAATAAGTATAAGCTTATCCAAAACTAAAAGCACGTTAACAATACAATCTGGATTTTATAAAATGATGTGTCAAACTAATGCAAGAATTTATGGAATAATCCTTGTATTGGAGTTGAGATCACCTTATAATTCTGGTATTGAAGCTTCTCGAACATATCCATAATTCTCGAGTTCATATGACAGAAGCTTTAGAATTTCATAGATAGAATCTGTCTCAGAATGAGACTTGTTACTGGCCATGAATTCATGAATACTACCCTCTATTTCAATTGAGCTTACTCCGGGTCTCTTTTGTATCCCACGAGTTTTCATTTTTCTTCGAACCTTGTTTGCACCCTCCCAACTTCCAACAGCAGCATACATATTTGCAAGCATCACATAGTTTGAATCAGAGCTTGGATCCAGCTCAACTAAATATTTCATGACCACCTCTGCTAAGCCAATGTCCCCACAATCTCTACATGCTGCCAATAATGATCCTAAGACCACTTCATTAGGCTTCATTGGCATATTTTTTATGACATTCAACGCATCCTCTAGCCTCCCTGCCCGGCTGTAGAGATCAACTAAGCAACCATAATGTTCAATTCGAGGAGAAAGATTGTAAACTCTTTGCATGTCATCAAAGTAGTTGAGCCCTTGATCTACAAGACCAGCGTGACTGCAAGCAGTAAGAGCACCGGTGAAGCTTACTCCATCAGGCTTGAATCCTTCTCTCTGCATCTTATCAAAAAACTTTAATGCCTCTTCAGCATGGCCATTGGCAGCAAATCCACCTAGCATTGTGTTCCATGACACCAAAATACGAGTTGGCATATTGTCAAAAACTTCACGAGCAAAATCTACACGGCCACATCGTGAATACATCTCTATCAAAGTGTTACAAAGACGAATGTTATCCTTAAACTCCTTCCCCATGACAAACCTATGAATCCACAACCCTAAAGTAAGCGCGCCTAAATTAGCACACGCAGAAAGTACGGCAATAATGGTTACATAATCTGGGTCGACCCCAGAAAGTAGCATCTGATAGAAGCAGTCCAAAGCCTTGTCATCAAGACCCTTCTTCACAAAGCCACCAATTAACACGGTCCAAGAAACAGCGTCTTTAACAGGCATTTCATCGAACAGTTGGAGTGCATCATCAAGCTTACCATTCTTCATATAGCCATCAATCATAGTATTCCAAGACAGAGAATTTTTATCAAAAATCTCATCAAAACAGAGTCTTGCGAAATGAACAAAGCCACATTTAGAGTACATATCAACAAGGGCAGTACCCACCTTGACGTTAAGGCTATTAAGGCCCAATTTTCGAACATAAGCATGAATTGGAAGAGGAAAGTGTTTTGCTTGAGAAGGGTTATGCGCAATGGCAGAGAGAAGAGTGATGAAAGTAATATGATTTGGGCAAATACCAGAAAATCGCATTCGATTGAATTCATTGAATGCTGCAGAAAGGTTGCCATTTTTGGAATGGCGAGCAATGGAAGTAGTCCATGGAATAATGGGGTCAACCTGTTTGTGGGATTGCCTAAGAGAGATGTTGATGATGTTGTTGTTATGCTTTCCAGTCAGACTGTGGGTTGAATTTGAAGGCGGAATTGGCGGGTGTTGGTGTTGGTGTTGGTGTTGTTGGAGTTGTAATTGGAGTTGGAATTGAGTTGGAGTGGCGCTGCTAAACCCCATTTCGTAGACTCCTGGAATTTGTGAAAATGGACTATATGAGTATATGAGCTAAACTAAAGCTTTAGATTATATCAAAATAACCCATTATGAGTTTATGCGCTTATGATAAGACCCAGTATTTGGGATTATTCACAAGAATTTTCTTATAAATAATACTTATACTTCGTATGTATGAGTATATGAATATAGAGTAGATTGTTTGATTGTTTCTATCAAGTATCAACCCATCATTGAATATAAACAGTATAACATCATGCAATTCACTCTGGGTAATTCTAATGAAAACAGGCTCCATAGAAAAATAAACCAAAGGTAAAGAAAAACCACAAAATTATAGTATTACTATTATTATTAATTTGTACAGACAATGAATCACAGGACTGTGATATATTACTACCATATCCGAGGGGGGTTTCTTGCAGATGTACACACTAAGAAAAACAAAAATTTTAATCAGCCACCAAAAAAAAGAAGATAAAAGCACAAAAATTCTGAACGCCTAAATGTGTCAGATTGCGATACTACTCCAAAGAGAGGAGAAACTTCCAAATAATTTAATGGAGAAAACTTAATTGCCTGATATATAAAGGATTTTCTCTAAAATTTAAACTTATCGGGCATCCGCTGAAGTGAAAGAGTCTGCAAATCCAGTAGGCCTAGCAGGTATACTTCCCCTGCTATCATCCATGCTTGCACTGCTATTCCCCTTGCTTTTATCTGCTTCATTTTGCCATCCCTTTAACATCTCTCTCAGTGGCAGATTGTAATCAATACCTGAATAATCCTCAATATCTTCATCAAATGGCTTCCATTTGTCAACTAGTGGTGCAAGCACACTCACAGCATGCCCCATATCTGGCCGATGGTTCGGGTCTCTTGCAGTGCAGTGCCCTGCAAGATCAGCTATTATGCTTATGCTCTCGAAAGCATCTTCTTTGATGTCCAGAGCTGGATCAATTGCAGCCATTAATGTGTCTTGGTTTGATTTTATTCTCCAAAACCACTCAGCTAAATACCGGCTCTCTTCAGAACGTTCCTCATCAAGTGCCATTAATCCAGTTAATAGTTCCATTAGTACTACCCCAAAGCTGAAGACATCCACTTTAGTTGAAACCTTCCCTGTCACTGGGTTGGAAATGACAAGCAAAAAAGTTAGTAAAATTTCTCAAGGTTAAATAATAGGTATGATTCAAAAAGTCATCCAGCAACATTCATAGTTGAATTGACATAAGACCAGAGAAGATTCTAATAAACATTATAAGCAAACAGATACAACAAATGATTTTAACGTCAGCTACAACTATACATCCACAGAAGCAATGTTTCTGCAAATAATGTGTATTTTACCCACAGAATTGCATTATGCAATGAGCAAATACAACAAGTGCTAATGTCCAAACAATACCAACAGAGAACCAATCATATTGCAGAAATTTTGTGAAAACTTGAGTATATGTGCAACAGTTTTTACTGAAGAATGATGACATAATTTATGCAAAATAACATACTACTGCACCTTTAAGACTCTACAAATGTCATTACTGTGTTGCAAATAATGTTGGTAAAATAAAAAGAAAAAATGGTTTGTATTGAAATGATAATTTAAGACAATTCATACAATGAATGCAACATACCAGCATATTCAGGAGCAAGGTACCCAAAAGTTCCAGCAAGTCTGGTTGCAACAGATTTATCTCTATCAGGAGCAAGTTTCACCAACCCAAAGTCAGAAACTTTCGCCCTAAACTCGTCATCCAAGAGAATGTTGGAAGATTTGAGGTCACGGTGTATGAAGCTTTGATGTGCTAAGGTGTGAAGATATTCCATCACTCTAGCAACATCCAAAGCAATAACAAGCCTCCTTTTCCAAGACAAAGGTTCCAAATTGATATTTTTCCAATGGAACAGATGCCTGCTTAGAGCCCCATGAGGCATGTACTCATAAACCAAAAGCCTTTCATTGCCTTCCGTGGAGTAACCAAAGAGAGACACTAAATGGCGATGCCTAACCTTAGACAAGACTGCAATTTCAGCCTGAAATTCATCCAATTGTTTGCTGTTAATCACCCCAGCCTCCATTCTCTTAACTGCTATTATAGTCCCATCTTCAAGTTCTCCCTTGTAAACTACTCCAAACCCACCACGACCAAGTTGATTTTCCGGGGCAAAATCATTGGTCACTTTACGAAGAACCTGAACTGAAATAACCAAATTTCCAGATTCTATTACATGAGAATTAGAATTTTCCATTGGGCTGCTGTTTCTACTCCCAGAACTACTACCAGTTTTGGTAAATAAGCTTCCAGTGTTGTTACTTGAGACTGCAACCTTGACCATATTGTCTGGATCATATGGGTCCTTTGGATGAACAACCACAGAACAAGGTGCCTCAACAGTAGCATTGTTCTTCTTACAACAGAATACATAAAACAGGATCAAAATAAGAATGACCACAATAGCAGCAGCAATAGCAGCAACTACAATAATGAAGGCAACTCTTTTTGATTTTTGAGGTTTGGTATTTTCTTTCGAGGAAGCACTTGAACTCTGCTTCGAGGAAACACCAGCAAAATGTTTCTTTTCAGGTGCAGGTGCTCTCACACTTCCTCGAGATGAGCCAGGGGATGGAGTTGGTAAAGGGGATTCAACCACTGGTGGACTGCTAAGGGGTGGTGGATGAGCAACAGGAGGAGGTGATTTCCCGCTATGGTTAGAAACAAGAGAAGGATTTCCATCAATATCTACCTGAACACCAGCATTGAATTTTGGCAATGGAGGTTTGAAATTGTTTTGGGAGACATCTAACAATGTCAAAGATTTTAACTGAGTAATGTTGGCAGGAATTTGACCAGTGAGATGGTTTCTTGCCAACCTAATTTGACTCAACGAATCCAAGGTAGCAACAGAAGGACTAAGAGTGCCACTAAGATTTCGATTAGGCAAATTAAGAGCAACAATCTCAGAATCAGAATTGCAAGTGACACCTAACCAAGGCCCTTTACAAGGATCATTACCAGACCATTGAGAAGCAAGAGAAACAGGATAATTGATACCAGCAAGAAAATCTAAAAGAGCATTCACATTTGGTGCACATAGTAGTCCAGGTGTTGATTGACAAAACGAATTCGAGTCATAAGAAACATTACCAGAGTTGAACTTGGGAATAGGACCCATTAACATATTGTTATTCAAATCCAGCCTCTCCAACTCCATTGAAGCCAAACTTTGAGGGATTCGACCGACTAGCTGATTCCCATTGAGATCAACATCTTTTAGTGAGATTAAACTACCAATACCCTCTGGAATTACTCCAGTGAAGTGATTCCCATGAAGCCAAAGTTGAGTAAGATAAGTCATTGAAGCAATGACATCAATAGGCCCACTCATTCCTCCACCTTCCTGATCATTCAACCATAGAATCTGCAACATGGAATTGTTAAAACTCATGGGAATAACTCCGGAGAGCTTATTATATGAAAGCCTCAAAGCACTAAGAGAAGGCAATGAACCAAGAAATTGAGGCAATGGACCAACCAAATTACAATTAGTCAATGAAAAATTAACCAAGTTGGTTAATTGAGCCACATTAGGAGGCAATGACCAGCCTTTTGTTGCATTAAGAGGGTTATTATCTAATTCTAAAACCCTGACACTAGTGAGACCCTCAAAGAAATCAGAAGGAATTTCATCAAAATTGTTGAAATCCAAGTATGCAAATTCCAAGTCTGACAACCCATTAAAAGTTGGCAATTTCCCATGAAATTGGTTCCTTTGAAGACCCAAATTGGACATTTTAGAAAGCTGGTTGAATTCAGCAGGAAGAGTACCCTTAAGACCCAAATTCTGAACTTGAATTTGAGTGACCCGATTACCCGAACAAAACACATGTTTCCATTTGGAGCCACATGGATCATCACCATCCTTTGGCCATTGAAGGAGCTGTGGATTTTGCAGACCTTTTCTGAAATTATTCAAAATTCTCAGATCATTTGGATCAGTCACACACCAAACCACAGAGCTCAAACAAAAACCCAACAATGCTAACCACAGAAATAATAAATTCTGTTGCTTTTGCATCATCATCATCATCATCCTGGTTTGAACAAATGAATTACATCAATGGCAAAAAATGAAACACATTTTGGAGGATTTTATGTATGTTTGAGGATTTAAGAGAAGAGTGTAATGGGGGATGAACTTAGTGTAACGTAAGGAATTATGAAAAGAAGATTAGATTCAGACAGAAAAAGGAAGAAGAACCCTAAATTGATTTAGTTTCTTAAATTGGAAAATATAGAATTGAATTGGGTGTTAAGACCGTCAACTGGAAACTGTAGAAGAAGAGTGAATTTTGGTTGGGAAAATGCCGTACTAATGGATTAATGTACAGTTTCAGACTTTGAGAGTGTGTGTTGTGTGTAATAGAGTGAGAGTGTTAATTACTCTGATTAATTTAATAATAATCACGGAAAAAGCCATATTTGGTGGGGATAACTGTCGCTATTATTATGAATAAAGGACCTGAGAAAATGCCGCTTGCTGAGGGTAAATCAGGAATAAATACAAGAAACAAACAATGTTGTACCTTTGTTTTGTTGTGCTGCAGAAGCTTCTCACCGACACACGTCATCCCTCTTCATTCTCATCTTACATTCCATTCCAAGTGTTCTTATGTATGCTCCAATTTAGACTAAATTTATTTTATTTTATTTTATAAAAATTTGGACTATGTTTATATCTCTCATTTTTCCAAGAGGACTAAACAAAAATCAACCTCACTTATCCTTCAATTATTCTCTAAGTCTTACAATCTTACCACAATTGGAACTCATATACTTGTAGTTAGATTTTTTTTTTATATTTTTTTTTTTTATTTTTTATATTTTTTTTTATTTTTTACAAACACGTCTAAATTTTAATTTCTCCATCCTATCTATTGCAGGAAATCATTTTGGACTCAAATTTTAAAATTTTAAAATATATAAACTAATACAAATCTAAGAAAAAAATAGTGCAATAACATAATTAACAAAAAAAAATAAAAATAAAAAAGGTATTTTACCAATTGATTTCAACAAATTAAAAAGAAAATTTTGTAGAATGGGGCTTTTTAGGGAGTGGCTTATCAAATCAAATTCAACAAAAATAAAAGTTAGATTATGACACTCACAATCTCACAATAAGGATGGTGTATTGGTTATTGGTATTGACTTATTGGATCTAATCCTTTAGATTTGAAAGCAAACTACAGAATTAAAGAGCAATTTAATGTGATTTATACACTTATTGCAGTGATTATTGATTAGATGCTTCAATCAATGGACTTGCGGTGTTAGATAACACATTATTATGACCTTAGCTACGACACTAAAATGTTTTTATTATTGGTTAGGCATAAGGTGAGTATAGCACAATAAGTTATCGACTTATAATATGGTTGTTAGAGTGCAAATCATTGCTAGAGCTCTTTACTACATCTTGTTTAAATGATAAGATACTACAAGACCCGATCAAACACAACATAGCATAACAAATTAAAATAAGGGTGGGACATTTGTCTTCAGCGAATAGTTTTGACAAGGCCGATGGCATGGCATGTTGGCTTAGATTGTGCTTGAGACAACATTTTAAAAGTTGCAGCTTTAGTAGACCTTGTCATGGGTTGAACCAAGTGAACCTAGATCACGAAGCATGGCCTGATCCCTTCTTTAGGATTATACTCTGTATAAGGAAGCTCCCCATTCTTGATTTTCCTATCCAAACTACTATACTATCTACATGTATGAGCAATTGAGCATATAGAGATACTAATAAATATAAGATCCTATCTTTGTCACTGATTCTCCCTGCTCAGCTTCTTTTTGCTGAGGCAATTAAATATGGGTATTGCTTTCTTTGTAAACAGAAAGTTGGTCATGGAATCTACTACTGGTACTTGCGTAGTTGGTTTTGTGATATGATTGATACCTCACTTTTGTTGCTTGTCTAGATTGCGGTCTTTTTCATCTTCGGTCACGCCCAATATATACCGTTTTTCTCAACAAAGGACTAGGTTTTACTCTATTAAAGTTGAACTCATAGAATAAAGAAAGTCTTAAGTTGGGGCTTAACATTCAAATTCTTGCATTTTCGTTAGTCTTGCACGAATCTTTCTTATTCACACCATTTTGTGCTAGACAAATACTCCATATGGAGAAATACTTTAATAGGCTAATAATAGTTTGAAATTTCCCAAACACGCCAAGTATAGACTAATAAAACATGTCGAGTGCTGAAAATCAACTCAGAAGCCGTTGTCAAAAAAAAAAAAAAAAAAAAAAAAAAAAAAAAATCAGAAGCAATACCAATTGAGACCATTGATCATGCAAACTTCTAAAACTGAAGAAGCACAGCAGACAGTACATGTTCACAACCACAAGATTTGCAATGCAAAGCATAGTCATACTCAAATTTAGAGGGACAAGACGTGTGGGTGTAACGTACAAACAAGAACCAATCCCAACTCCCATTCCTTGATTCCCTCTTATCAAATTTGAACACATAATAAGATAGACAAAATGTGCTAATCAACAAATTCAAATACTTCACAATTACATTATTATTCCATTGTCCAGTCAAGACTTGTTTTCATTGAACAAAACATCATTGATTGAAGACCCCATTTTGCCTCCCTACCTTTCAAATTTTCAATTATGGTTTTTCTTTCCCTGAAAAGTCTCAGGCCCATCTTTGTCTGCTAATCAATTTCTTGAATCATCATTTTTAGATTTCAAAGAATAATGCTAAGTGATCGATAACCAGATTTTAAAAATGTAAAGAGAGAAAAAGATACGCCTACTTGCTGCAAAAAATCAGGCTTTTTATTTCACGATGAATTCGAAGGCCTTTACGAATCTCACCATCATCTGCATTACAAGTGATGACTTATACATAACACCGATGTAATAGTATAATTACAAACAGTTACAACACTCACAAGGCTATACACATCCTAATATATCACCATTAACCCCACGATTTATTTGCTCCACACATATATAAGTTGTCTCACATTAGAAAAACAAAAACTTTTGAGTGTATAACACAACTACTGCACCAGTAATCCTCCAAATTAAAATTTACACTTACATGTAGTATTCACATGGTCTGTAGATGTAGAGGTAAACATCAAAGAAGAAACAAGCTTCAATTTTGCTCTTTGCTGATTTGACTGATTTCCCTTAAAAAAGGAACATTTATTGTGTAATATTTTTTCATCCTATCGATGACCTTCTTAGTAAAATCAGCATCCTCTGGGTAGTAAGCAATAGGATCAGATAATAGAGGGATTTGAAGATTCAGTACACCTTCAAGTGTTGCATGAAGACAATAGGCTGCATATGTTATATGATAGCCACCTTCCTGAACAATAAGAAGTTGGCCGTTGCAATGTGCATTGGCCAGGCCACGAACTATTCTTCCTATTGCTCTGTATCCATCCATTGTCAAGCACTGCCTTCCATTTGGGTCAAACTGTATATGCAGAAGAAAGTGGTGATGATTCAGTTCAAATTTATTATGAGATTTATTAGGGTAAAATACAACAGAACTAAGAAATATAAAGATGATGGATCCTACACTTAACAAACATCTTCTGTGGTGAGTGGTGACGGTCAGAAACATCTAAGTACTTTGCTTATTATTAAGACTAAGAATTATAAAGCTGTCTCTGATAAACACAATTGTAGGAAGAACAATTGTTAAACCTAGCGAGTGTTATAAGCATAAGACTTATTCCCTCACCCCCCCCCCTCTCTCTTTCTCTCTCTTCCCCCAATCCCAACCAGTATCTCATATGATTACCACGGTCCTTTCATTAAGCTAACAAGTTTTTCATACATCTAACTTTGACCCAACTGTTACTTGATGATGATATAGGTTTAGGTTGGAAGAGTCAAAAGGTAAGAATAGAACGGCATTACTCATGGCACTCAGAAATGAACTTGAAGAAATATGCGAGTTCCCAGAAAATATTGCAGTTCTTGACATATTACAAGTTTAACAATGAAGACACAATAGATGAGAGATACAGACTCTCCATCCAGTCAGGAAAACAGATTGATAACTACCAAAGTTTCTCTGCCTTCAAGGCTTCAAAAACAAATTCCAGCAATTTTTGAGACCTGAGCAACAACTATCACAGAAACATTGCTCCTAGTAAATTTAAGTTTTAGATAATTAATTGAAAGGAACAAGAGTAACTCTGAAAAGTGCTAATTCTACTTGGCTTTATAGTGTTTGATAGATTTACAGACTTTAGATTCATATGACCTGAGTAGGCCAGCACCTCTACTGCTTCGACAAAAACGTGTACCGCTATCAATATTTCATAAAAAACCTACCTGATACCTCTCGACTCATAAGAGCTATGACTGTTTACATTTACAATATGACCTCCCTAAACCGGGGCAGCTGCTTTTACATTATTACTTAATTATACTATTGCTTGTCCTGCTACAACCAATATAAGGATTTGAGAATAGAAATCATGCAGCAGTTTCACAACTTTTTATCTAAATCATTGATTGAAGCATGAAGCTGTAAATTATACTCCCAACTCTTTTGTACGCTGCTTAGGTTACTATAATGATTTTGACTCATTGAGAAATCATAATCCAAATCATAACTAGGTGAATAGCATTTATAGTGCAGGACTACAATCGATCAGGGGGGTTTCATATACACAATCCCCTGAACATTAAATTCTACACTAGAGGTGGAGCTACATGAGGATCAAAGAACAACTCTCTATTAAATATCCTTCAGTTCCCCTAAATATCATGATCGACATCATCAAGATGCTAAACCCTTCTCGGAGTCCAGTCATTCTGGTGGACAGTGTCATAGCAAACAAGGATACAGATAATTTCAACAAAAGTGTGGATTCTTAAGTCAAAATGTCAGTCAAAAGCATCATCATATGTATCTACAAATCCAAAATAAAAAATACTTACTGCACTGGAGTCCTGTCCAACAACTAAGACAATCATATCCGGTTCAAAGTTGCGAATAGCTGGAACAACAAGCTCCTTCACAGCATACGCATAACCGCGATCTCCACTTCCATTAGGCAATGGTATATTAATATTATATCCAAATCCCTCTCCTTCACCAAGCTCATCAATGGTACCATTTTGTGGATGTGAAGGACCCCAAGAACCATGATTCATATGAAGCGAAGTAGTAAGAACTCGATTGGAACGATAGAAGCCTTCAGCAGTCCCATTCCCATAATGAACATCAATGTCAATAACAGCCACTTTAGAACGACCATAATCTAATGCTAATTGAACGGCGAGACCGGCATTGTTAAGGAAGCAATATCCATCAGCTTGAGTGGGCTGAGCATGATGGCCAGGTGGCCTGACTAAGGCATAGGCAATGTTACCATGTCCATCTAATAAAAATCTCATAGCAGAAAGAGTAGTGCCAGCAGCAAGAAGAGCAGCTTCCCAAGAACCAGGGTTTAGAAATGTTCCACCACACAACATCTTCCCTCCAGTTTTATCTGCTTCTTCCAATTCCTGGATATATTCTGCAATGCACTCACTTTAAACCCCATATCAGTAATCTATCTTACTACTTCATTAAACAACTAAGAACCCTAGAAATTAAATCACAAGTTCGCTGACTTCGAAGTATTTTCAAATCATACTATTACAAGATTCTATCTTTTATCATAAAATGGCAAATTT